TTGTTACAGTTGGTAGTGTTATTAGATATTGGGTGGAGTTTATGAGTAGGAGGATAATTTTGTGGGTAGATGCTATAAGTATTCCTTGGAAGGAAGAACAGTTTGTGTTCTCGGGTAATGAGGGTAGCTTTGGTCAAAATTGTTTTATGTATTAGAGATGTGTGATTGTCATTGATCATGTCAGTCTTGTGTTTGAGATGTAAGGGCATGCTTACTATGTAGGCATAGGGGTGATGATTTCCTTAGGAACAATGATGGTATGGTTTGATCTTGAGGAGTCCGGTGAAATTCAAACCTATGGGGGTTTGTGCGTGGAACTCCATTTTTTGAGTAAATGGTGTTGAGTAGCTCATCAGTGTTTGGTTTATCAAGTGTAGAGGTTTATCGAGTTGATTAGTCAGCTTGTTAATATCAGGTTTTGGTTGACAAGTAGTCACCTTGAGGAAAGCTTGGGCTTGTGTATAAAGGTTGATAGGTTATGGGTGCATTGGAATGATTTTGCGAGCTTTGAGTCTTGTGTATGTGGTCGGGAAGCTTTTGTGAGACTTGTTTTGATTGGTGGAAAACCCCAGGTTAGGGTAACGTGTTGTAGATTCTTCGTTTGCGTATGTATTTGACTCATGTAGCTGATAATTTATGATAATGATTATAACGGAATAAAATTGCAAAATCGTGGATTTTCTTGTGTCATATCGTGTTGATGGCACAGTTGTTATTTATATTAACTGTTATTACAGAAATGTTACGTTTTATGTTGGTTGTGACATCACCATATGAGCGATGGTGTTGTTGGGTGACGGTAGAAGTTCACTGATTGTTATATTGGAAAGGAATTGAAAAATGAATTTTTCCTAGTGTTATGGCCTTCTAATGGCTTTGTTAAAATAGAAATGTCGAGGATTTGATTTAATTTAAATGGTATGAAGAATTTCAATGAGTAGTCTTTGGCAATTAAATTATGGATGGTTATGTGTTATGGGTAACACCTTATTTATGAGATATGTTTACAAAACTTTTAAGTTTCACATGGAAAATGCAGAAATATATTTTGATTATCAACGATGAAAATTTAAGTATTTTTGAGAAATGTTTCATATACAAGAGAATGATTTTTTTTTTTTTTAAAAAACAAAGTTTTGCTATGGTTTGTTTTACTTGGGATAATGAATGTTGAGTAGTGACTTAGCTTGTATCGCTAGTCGTGTGTTTAGATGTTTTGTTTTGAGAAGGGTTTGGTATTGTTGGAGCTTATCGTGCCAGAGTGTTGACTTTTGGGACGTGTTTTCCTAGTAAGTCCTCTTTTTTTGTGAGAATTAATTGAAGGTTTGTTGTGAGGGTAGTGTTCTTTTCCTAAGTGCTCGGGTGTTGAGTGCTCTGTGGTCGGTTTGCCTTGTGTTTTGGTTTTCTTCATTTCGAGGACAAAATTTCTTAAGGAAGGGAGATTGTGACACTTTGTACTTTTGGGTTTAGAATTGAGGTAAGGTGCAATTGAAAGTTGTTAAGGTTTGGTGGATATATACATGGGTGCTCTTGTGCTTTATTTTTGGACCAGGGGTTGTTAAGATTTGGTGAGTATAAGGTTGTTGTTATTTTTGTTAGAATGGATACAATTTCGGGGACGAAATTTCTTAAGGTGGGAAGATTGTAATGACTCGGATTCTAGTTCACATTAGATTGATGTAAAGTGGTGCTCGTCACCTTAAAACTTGTATGGTTGTCGGACTCTTGGTATTGATGGGTTGGCAAGTGAACCTTAAATATTATAATTATGGACCCTTGGGTGACGTTTGGAATCTTAATTCCTGCCTTAACAAGGTATTTAGGTAACATCAGATCAAAATCTCCAAGTTTGAGTTTTTATTTTTGACCAACCTTCACTCTTTTGCACTTTTCTCCTTCCATACTTTGAATTTGAATGTAAGGCTGGAACCATTGGAAAGCTTGTTTCCAAGGCTTCAATTTGGACATAAGAACGACCTAAAACGAAGTCTGAACGAGAGAGTTACACCTGTTTCAATTTTGAGTTTCTGTGTTGGAAGCATTCTCGCTCGAGCGAAGAGTGCGTTTTTCAGAGAATCTGAGAGCTTGTTTTCTACGCTCGAGTGACCAGGTCGCTAACAGACATTATAAAGTAATTTTTGGGCTCTAAAACTCTATTTTTTCTCCCTCTCTTCTCCTCCCATTCTCCAAAACAAAACCCTAACCTTCCAAACTCTTGATTTCTCCTCTATTTACCCAAGATTCACCCCAAATCTTTCAAGAATGTTGAAGGGCAAGCATAGATCAAGACTTCTACCGATTGTTTTGCGATTTCATTGGAATTTCAAGTTGGGTCTTCATCTTTAGCTTCAAATCTTGAGTTTCGAATCCTGAGGTAGGGATTTCCTTGTTCCTTTTCAATACCTCATCTATAGATAGATATGTGATAAATTTGTATTGCATAAAAATCATATCCATTATGGATTTCTTTGAAAGTCATGAAAAGGAACTTAAGGTTTGTTGTTTGGGAATGAGATTGTTAAATTGATTGTTGTTTGGGTTAATTGAGGAGTAATCTAGCATGTTTATGTTGAAAGAAGAAAAATCCCTCATTTAATGTTTTGACTTGGTGAATTAAAAATGGGTAAAGTTGAATAATGTTTGTAAATTATTATTATGGGTTGTGTAAATGGGTTAATAGTTAAAAGGGAGAATTAACTATAACTTTGGAATTATTTTGGATTGATTATATTAAGTTGAGTTAGGTTGCGGCTTTGATTTCCATGGATTTAATTTTGAGAAATAAAAAGAATGGATTGGGATAAAGGGTGGAGTATGTTAACTTGGAAAATAAGAGAATTGATTTTTGAAAAGAAATAATGAAATCATATGTGAATTTCATAAATTAGCTTGAGGTTGGATTATGAAAATTTTATTTTACTATTGTTGTTGTTGGATTTAAAATCTCATGATAGTTAAATTATTATAATATGTGTGTTGAATACATACATTTAGAGGTTTTGTCCTTGGTCATCGGTGGTGGATGACATTGTTGTGTTGAATAGTTTTGCGTATGCATTACACCTGTGTTGGCTGTACTTTGTTGAATAGTTTGTGTTTATGCATTACAATTGTGTTGGTTGTACTTTGTCATGTTGTGATGAGTAGTAACGTATACTGCACTGAGAATGAGAGATACCAGAACCTTCCAGCTAGTGCCTGGAGAACTTGACAGAGGCACTATTACCTTCCAGCCGGTGTCTGGTAAATTGGCATTTCATTGTGGAACGGTGTATCATTGGCTTACCGTGCTTAAGGTAGGTAGAGTAGAATTTATTTATCATTATTGTCTCAGTGTATCTAGGTATATCATGGGTTATGATGGTTATAGTTCTGGAAGGCCGTGTTGCCTCAATTGTTGAAGCAGATAGTTATTGATTGCTTGTTGTTTTCCTTTTGTATTAAAGGCATACTTATATAGTTATGAATGTGCTGGAAACGAACGTAAGTATTGTGTCGAGATTGTGAAAAAAAAAATGTGAAAGACTTTGAATACTTGTGAACATGTTTTGAAAAGGCAAATCAGGTATAAGTCTGGAAAGTGGGAGAAAACATAAACGTAATGGGCATGGTGAAATTGTTTTTCTTCAGAAATTTGTTATAGTCATATGAATTTTGAAAAAAGGTATAAAAAAAAAAAGAATTGCTTATATTATTGAATGAAATGAATGACTTTGAGAAAATTCCCTATATACGTATATTTCTGTATAAACCGTCACATTATTTATACAGTATGAGACTAAGCATTCATAATCATTGCTATCTGTAAGTTGCTATTGTTTAGGATCATGTTGAGATCCTTACTGGATTTTATGTTCATCCCACGTTGCTAATCTTTTTTTAGGTGAACATCGAGAAGTGTTTCAAGGTCATGGATCTTCTGTACCTGTTGGCCACGGGGCCTTTTATTTTGGGCGGATTGCCATTAATGTAAAAGGGTTAAACCCTTTCTTTTATTTTTAAAGATGTAAGCCTACGGGCAGTTTATTTAGTTATGCTCATGTTGCATTTAATTTGCGTTCGGATGAGAGAATCTTTATTTATTCTTACTCATTGATGTAAAGAGTTTTTCGCATGTTATCTCTGAAATTGAATTAAATTAATGAATCTGGTAATGGTTTCGAGTAATAAAACGTGAGGCGTTACATTGGCTGCTCGAGCGGTGTGACTTAAACGCATGTTTCTGAACAAGTGCCTTTGCTTGAGCGATGAAAAGTTTGCTCGAGCATAAAATCTTAACTCCCAGTACTTTTGCAGCTCGATTCCCGGCATGGCCAGCGAAGTGGCAAACATGAAAGAATTAGGATCATAAACTCCTCTGCGAGGCACAATTCAAGTTGGATTCGCATCTATATACTCATAACCTCACTGAAATAAAAGAACAAATAAAATTACAACTGAAATAAGTTTTGTTAAACGAGATTGCCACTAATAAAAACCTAACAAAACTTTCCTACATTTGTAAATGACTACCACTCCATTATCACTTTATTTTCTGATACTTTTCTACGTATACTTGAAAATCCTAGCTTTAGCAGAAGATGAAGACCAATTTATCTACAATGGCTTCCAAGGAGCCAATCTTCATCTTGACGAGCTTGCACAAATCCATACCAATGGTCTATTGTAGCTCACCAACGCTTCTCAACAACAATTTGGCCATGCTGTCACTACAAGCAAAGGGACTATTTGAGTCGAATTATTTGTGACGGGAACACTTGCCAACTCAAAAATGAGTTATTAGCGTCAGCAAAATAGGACTGTCTCCAAAAAAAATCTACTAGCTATTTATTATTTAAGTTGGCAGATTATACTGCCTCAAAAATATATTAGTTGTGTCGGTAAGATTTTTGTCGTCTCAAAAAAATATTTAATTTTTTATTCATTTTTTTTTTTCTCCAAAATTTCCCTTGCGCCTATTTTAGGTTGTTTTGCGTCCACATTGTTTGCCGTTGCAAAAAGTGGAAAAAGTAATGAAAAAAATTTAAAACAGCAAGTAACTCCTCATCCTGTTTTGTTCCTTCCTTTGTTTTGTTTCTCTGTTTTCCCTAAATTCCATCTTGGTTCATCAGAGAGCAAGTAACTCACCATCGACTCTCCTCCTCCAGCGACCCACCGACTGTCCTCTATCTGAGGGTAAGTACTCTCTCTCTCTCTCTCTCTCTCTCTCTCTCTCTCTATATATATATATATATATGAATTAGTCCAAAACATTGAAAGATTCTTCAAAGTTTCCTCCCGCGGATCCTTCTCTGCTAAGGAATTTCTCTTTCTCTCTCTTTCTCGGTCATCAAGCAGTCTTAGGGCATATATAAAACGTAAATTTCAGTCTCCCTCACTTTCTGTTTCTCTTCGATTTCTCCTTGAACTCAACTCTCTCTCTCTCTCACTCTCTCTCACTCTCTCTCGGTCTCCCTTAATTTCTTTCTTCTCCTCCATCATTTTCCGTCAAATATGAAACCAGAGATCCCACATTGATTTTTGAAATGTTGAACTGAAAGAGTAGATGATTTTAGTGTTCATTTTGTTTTCTTTTTGAAGAAAATTATGAACAAACAGAGATATTTCATTTATTGAAAAACTACATTTCATACTTACAACTTATCTATATATAGAGATCAATGCAGAGATCAATTTTTTTTTTTTTTTTTTTTTTTTTTTTTTTAGCTTTCTCTGTAAACCAAACTTGGGGGAAAAAAAAACACAATATTGTATGTGAAATGCTTTGTTTCTATATATTAGAGATTAATGGTGTATATATATAATCTATAATTGATTGGCTTTATTGTGAAAGGTGACATTGTATTCTTCTTGAATTTCTTAGCATGTTTTTCCTATTCTGAAGAAAATCTCACAAAAAAAGTGTGCAGTACACATCTGGCTAAAATTTTCTTATTGAAGAACGAAATAACACAGGCATCAATGCTTGGTCATTGAAAAAATTAGACTCTAGTCATCTAGAATGTAATTTAAAAAAGCTTACCCATGTTTTGTCACTACAAAATATTAGAAAATAGTGATCATCAAATATATCAACTAAATTTCAATAAAAAAATTCAGATTATTATTTACAATGCCACTAATAAATATGTGCATATGTAAATATCAGTGTATATTGATGAACCTTGTTTACCCAAAAAAGACCATAGAATTACAATTCTTTATTTAATAAAGATAAAAACATGTGTTCTTTTTATGTGTAAATTATGCTTTTAGGATTTTTTTTTTTTTTTCTCCCCTTTCTTCTAGATGGGCTGTGTAGTGGCCAACTGTTGAACTTTCATATGTTAGGAAGTAATTTTTTATTTGTCTTAAACTAATATATTACTCGTTGAATGTGTAGTTAACTATTTATTTCTAGTTTTTAATTGGGAAAAAAAGAATGAGAACTCTAAAGAGTTTCCTAATGTACCCATAATGGCATGAATATAGAGTTTGTTGGATGGTGTGTTAAAAATTACATAATCAAAATACAAAATATATATATATATATATATTTTTTAAAAAAAATATTTAAAAAAAGGGAGTTACATTTAAGCTAAAATATAACAAAAAAAATTAATGGAGATTCTCTAAAGCTAATTCATTTCATTGTGAGTGAATTGTGGTTTTATAGCATTTCTCTTTTTAATTTTGGACAAGTGAGAGCATGGATGAACTTCATAAGATCACAAGGAGGCACAGGTTCTATACAGGTAGAGTATAATTAACCAATTGAATATTTTTAAGAAATATTTTATTCCTATGTATTATATTTAATAACAAATATCAAATTTTGTTTATATAGATTTCGGATGCCTCTAGTGGACATCGACGAGTTAGGGAGTCCGTGGGAGATGACACCGAAGATGATGAATTGTTGGATTCTCATGAGGAGGTATCTCTTTTCCACTTAATGCAATATTCACAAACACACGTATGGTTGAGGTTGAGGTTAAGGGTTAGCCTAGTGAAAATCCTTAGTGATGTTAGGAGGTTGAGTGTGAGCCTAATGAAAACCCAGATATGTTGCATTTATTGCATATATGTAGTATTAGTGGTGTTAGGAGGTTTGAGGGTGAGCCTACTGAAAACCCGATTATAGAACTGTTTTAGTTTGAACTTTTTCTCTCAAATGAAAGCTCTCATATAACAATAATCATCATTGTTAATGTTTGCTAAAAGTTACTCTTGGCTTGTAATATTAGTGCAATTGCCTTGAATTAATTGACATAGTTTGATGACACAATTAATGTTTTCAATAACCACCATATATGGTCTACACAATCAGTTACATCTTTAATATATTTTAGGTTGGAAAATTGGTTACCACAATGTTGAGTTTGAACACTTAATTTGGAGTAAAAATAGGACAAACTATTGGAATTGAATTCAACTTTGATATTTAGTTCTTGTTGGGCAAGCAACATATATATCCATTTGTGCACAAAGTTTATTTACCACATTTCCAAGAACATGATGACACCTGAAAATTTGTGCATTCAAACATCATTTAATATGATTGATTCTAACTTCAGGTAATAATGTGATGCTCATACTAAATGATCAACATGTTAAATGAGTTGTATAAAGAGCTAACTATTTTTTATTGTATTTTATTTTATTTTTTATTTGGATCTTGTGGAACTTGGATGTAGAAGTGGCTCTGATAAAGAGCTAGTCAATGAGGAAATAATAAAAATATTTCTGTTTCACATCAGAAATGGTTCTAGAAACCCAAACTGACTGTAATCCATGCAATTTGATTGCTGAAAGCATAGTGTTTAAAACAAATTTGTAGTTTTCAAATCAAAAGCACTCTTGATGCATTCTACTAGATGTTGCTTCTGTGTATGGGTTGGTTATTCATATTTCATTCATTTCATACGCTGCCAATACTTGCTAAAGCACACTGATGTTACAGTCCTATAGAAATATTCAATCTCATTGTTATAATTGTATATGAGCTGTTACAGCCAAAATTTAGTCTCTATTCATTCTAGTTATTTCAGAATGAAAAGTAGCTTCATTTATGTATTCTTTTACATTTTGATTTGACTAAAAAAAAACAGAGTTTATTTTCTGTAGAGAATTTTTTTTTTATGGAAAACTACAATTGCTACTCTTGCTGGAAATATTTTATAAGATTAATTGTTCACTGCCTTGGCGGTATTGTTGACCTTCATTACATGCTTCATTTAGTTGGATGCTTAGCCTATTTGTTTTTTTGTTTTTGTTTTCAGGTTATGCAAAAAGATTAGTGGTGGTAGATATTAATGGTAGGGCACGGGGATAATTGTTTTCTTGAACATCTATCTTTATGTTTTGGGCTTGCCATTTTTCTATTTTTGTTTTCAAGTTTTGCAGAAAGATTAGTGGTGAGGTAGAGATTAATGGTGGCATGGGGGCTATTTTTTTTTGAACATGTATTTTTATGTTTTTGCTGTCATTTTTCTATTTTTGTTTTTCGGTTTTGCAGAAAGAATAGTGATGGTAGAGATTGATGGTGCGGCATTGTGGCTAATTATTTTTTTGGATATTTTTTTGGCTGCCATCTAGACTTAAGTACTTAATATTTAGAGCCTATTGATATCTTATGGTTTGTGTTAACCAATTATTGTTAATATTTTGATGTAATTGAACAGATGTTGGATTTATATTGATTAAATATGTTTCTATTAATATTTGGTTTGAATGCGAGCGAATGTGTATTGAAATGTTTTTTTTATTTTTTATTTTTGGTTGGCAAAATATTTGAATTTGAATGAATAATATACAGGAAAATTTTAAATAATTAAAATCTTATTTATAAAAAATAAATATTTATTTATGACTATCAAAAAACCGTTGCAAATAAATTTTTTTTTTTAAAAAAAATTATATTTTTTGTGACAGCAAAAAAGTGTCGCTAAATCTGATGGTGATTTTTTTTTTTTTTTTGCAAAATGTAAGTATTAACGACAGCAATAAACTGACACAAAAGATAGTTTTAGTGACGGCATTTGTCTTGGACGCTTCATTACCGTTGCAAATATTTAGAGACAGTAGGCTTGCCATCTCTAAAACTATTAGTGACCCCATTAGTCTCGTCCCTTGCCTTGCCGACGCCAAAAGCTTTTGCGACGGTATGAACCATTTTTGAGAGGGCATTATGCCGATGCAAAAACCTCTGCTTCCAGTATTTCTACCAACTTCCTATAAGATTCAATACATCCTCATCTGGATTACCACAAACCATTTCATTTTCCGCCAATTTTGTCTTTGCTATTGTTCCTGAAACGCAAAATATTAGTGGCCATGGAATTGCCTTTACCATCTCACCATCTACGGACTTCACAAAAGCTCAAGCAAGCCAGTACTTGGGACTCCTCAATAACACCAACATCGGTTTCCCTTCAAACCACTTGTTGGCAATTGAGCTGGATACTGTTAAGAGCTTTGATATGAATGATATTAATGATAATCATGTTGAAATTGATGTTAACAGCTTAATATTTATGAAAAATGTTAGAGATCCTAAAAGTTTTAATAAAATTTTTACCAAATGTCTTACATGGATATGGAACTTGCACCATGTGAGTTTTATGTGGGTCCCACACTCATGTGAGACATTTGGTAGAAATTTTGGTAGAACTTTTGAGATCTCTAACAATATCTAATGTATCGGAGCATGCTGCATATTATTCTAACAAAAATGTTAGAAATCCCAAAAATTTTACTAAAATTTCTACCAAATATCTCACTGGGTGTGAGACCCACATGGTGTGAGTTCCACACTCATATGAGACATTTAGTAAAAATTTTAGTATAATTTTTGAGATTTCCAACATTAATTTTATTCTAGTAGGGAAGGAATAAGCAATAGCTTTGGGAATACGGATCACTGGTCGCCCTTTCCTGCCGCCTTTGCCAAAATGACGTCGTTTTGGTTAGTTTTTTTTTTTTTCAAATTTTCCCCAAAATTTGAGTTTCCCGCTTGTTTATCATCTTCCTCTTCCCAGCTCTGTGTTTTGTTTTGTTTAGCCCTAACGAAAACTGAGAGAGAGACGGTAGACGAAGAGAGAGAGCTGAGAGATGAGAGAGATGGTGGAGGGGCGCGACGGCGAAGGACGAATGATGGCGGAGGGAGGAGATGGCCATGGCGAAGGACGGAGAATGGCAGAGGGAGGCGACGCGACGGCGAGGCAAGATTGCGGCCATGACGAGGTAAAATAAGTGACATTAATCAAGATCATCATATCAGATTTTTGTAGCTGATATATACATATATATATCTGTCCGAAATTTTTTATAAATAACTCGCCCTTGTCCGAAATTTCTGAAATTGGGTTTTAAATGATTATTCATTGTTAATCTGTTTGTCTTTGTTCAATGTGTAGGTTAAGTTTTGTTTGTAGAAGTCAAAAAAGATTATAGAAAAATATAAATGCCCAAGTGATGTTGTGTTTGTTGGAAAATTTGAATTTAATTTACTTCAATGGTTGTGTCTCTTGAAATGAAAGGGTGTGTCCTTTTGAAGGATCACAACTTTTTTGAAGAGTCACTTAGAAGTCTTTATATTCCATGTCCCTCACTTCATTTTGAATGGGGAATTGCCATTCTTCTTCACTTTGCATTTTTTCTTCATTTTTACTGAGTCTAATTTTCCTATAAAGAGAGTTCATGCACAGCAAAGTTCGCTAGACTTGCAATAGTAGTGCTGCTAGTGCAAGACATTGATCGTTGTATCCTGGGAGATAGACGTCCATTGAATCCTAAGCACCGGTGGAAGGAAGAGTTTGTCTTATGAAAAGAGTGTCACACACTCGACTCGATCAGGTTTTATTTTTTTATGTACTGTAAAATGATTATTCATTGTTAATCTGTCTGTCTTTGTTCAATGTGTAGGTTAAGTTTTGTTTGTAGAAGTCAAAAAAGATTATAGAAAAATATAAATGCCCAAGTGATGTTGTGTTCTGTTCAGAAAAAATAAATTCTGGGTTTTTCATTTTTTTTTTTCATTTTTTGTTGTTATGTTCTTCAATATTTGTGTTATGTGTTTGTATGACTTGGGCAAAAGGTATATTTGTGTTCTGTAGGTTAAGTTCTGTTCAGAAAAAAAAATGGTCATTAATATAAATTCTTGGCCCTCCCTGTGTTCTGTAGGTTAAGTTCTGTTCAGAAAAAATATAAATGACCATTTTTTTTTTCCAGTGATGATGCATTCCAACTTTGATTTAATATTTGTGTTATGTGTTTGTATGACATGGGCAAAACGTATATTCCACTACCAAACATGACAAAAGAGAACAATCAGAAAGAACATAGGTAGAGCATGGCTTCCAATACAATGATTTTGTGCTTCATCTTGCTTAAATTGGTCTTGGAAGTGTTTTTTGAATCATCTTGCTGAAAATTTCACCACTAAAAATACATACTTCTTTTGACTTGGGCAAAAGCTAGACATGGAAGATTGGAAAAGCTTTATCATATGTATTCCAGTACCAAACATTACAAAAGAGAACAATGAGAAAGAAAATAGGTAATAAGATAAATGGGTAGCCCTAGTTAGGCATTACAGAACCAATCTCCACCAAAAAAAAAAAGAAAAGAAAAGTAAAATAGAGCTGAAAATGCATTATTATATATATATATATTTATTTATTTATTCATACCATTCATCAGTTCCACTGGTATATTATATGTATAGGAAAATGTTATATAAATTACTTAGTAGTATTTGTAGGCACACTTCAAAAAAATCCTATCCATCAATTTTTGGGAATTAGCTTATTTTATTATTTGTATGGTAATCAATTGTAGGTAATGGAAGAAAATAATGTTGTTGATGAGTTGGGTAGTTGTGGTTGGAAGCCGAAATTGGGCATGCCATTTGACTCTGAACAAGCTGCGTATGACTTTTACAATAACTATGGTGGAAAGGTGGGCTTTAGTATTAGGAAGTTGTATGCACACAAGAACAAACAAACTAAGGAAATAACTTCACGGACTTTTGTATGTTATAAAGAGGGAAGTCGGGGTATTGACAAGCGAGATCCACTAGTAAAATTTCCGAGACAAGAGGTGAGATGTGGTTGTGGTGCCCGATTGAGTCTCAAGTTAGATAGAAATTTAGGAAAATATATTGCAATTGATTTCATTGAACATCATAATCATGACCTTGTGCGTGAAGAGTGCATTCATATGTTGCCATCCCAAAGAAAAATATCTACCACCCAAACAATTGAAGTAGAATTGGCTTCAGAATCTGGAATTCCTCTTAGGTCTGCTTATGAGCTATTGGGTAGGGAATCTGGTGGAAGAGCATCACTTGGCTTCACCAAATTGGACCAAAAAAATTATTTGAGATCGAAGAGACAAAAAGATTTGGAATATGGAGAAGCGGGTAGTGTGTTGCAATACTTTCGTAAGAAAACTATGGAAAATCCATCATTTTATTATACGGTCCAATTAGATTGTGAACAGCAGATAACTAACATCTTTTGGGCCGATGCTCAAATGATAATGGACTATGCTCAATTTGGTGATGTAGTGACCTTTGACACTACTTACAAATTAAATAACGAGCATAGACCTTTTGGGACGTTTGTTGGATTTAATCATCATCGAGACACAGTTATATTCGGTGTAGCCTTGATGTATGATGAGACTGTCGAATCATTCACATGGTTGTTTCAGAACTTTTTGGAGGCAATGTCAAACAATGCTCCAAAAACTATTTTCACAGATCAAGATGCTGCGATGGCTAAGGCCATTCCAATTGTCATGCCTAATACAAACCATCGACTTTGCACATGGCATTTGATGCAAAATGCTGTGATGCAAAATGCTGTGAAGCATGTAAGTTCTCTTTTTGGAGATGTAGGGGTGAAGGGTGTGTTTTCAAAATTTATGCATGAAATTGATGATGAAGAAGAATTTAGAATACAATGGGACCAAATGCTTGATAGGTATGATGCACACAACAATCATCGGTTAAAGCAAACTTTTGGTGTGAAGGACAAATGGGGATGGCCATATATTATGAATTCTTGGGCGGCTGGAATGAGTACTACTCAACTAAGTGAATCATTCAATGCATGTTTGAAGGATTATATCAATTGTGATCATAACTTGATGGAATTTTTCACGCATTTTGAGAGGGTGCTCTATGACAAGAAGTATAAAGAATTGGAAGCCGAATATAATTTGTCCCAAAAATTGCCAAGGGTTTCCATTCCAACTTTGATGTTAAAGCAAATGGCAGATATTTACACGAAAACAAATTTTGAGGAATTCCAAAATGAGTATGTGCAGTCCATTGAAGCATCCATTGTAGGCACTCGTAATGATGGTGAGAGTACCATATTCACAATTCGAACGATGGTAGATGGGAAAAAAGATAAGAATGTGATAATGGATACACATGGCTCTTTGAGTTGTAGTTGCAAGAAGTTTGAAGTCAAGGGCATAGTGTGTCGACATTGTTTGAAGATGCTTAGAGATATATTCAATGCAAAGGACCTTCCTGCACAATACATATTGAAACGATGGACTAAAAAAGCAAGGGTTGAAAGTGTGAAAGACAGTCGTGGGTATGACGTCAAGGTCGATGTGAAACTACATCAAAGCGATCGATATAGGTCATTGATGAATATGTTTAGAGCAATAGCAAGTAGAGCCGCTGAAAGTGAAGAAACTTATCATTTGTCACTTGCAAAAGGTGAACAATTGAGTGTAATGGTTGAAGACAAATTAAGTGTGCACACTTGTGGTCAAGTGGAGGTCACTGAACTGAGAAATTCCTCAACTAACACATGCCCACAGAGTGATGAAGTAGATTGTCCAATCCAGGCTAAGGGACTAAAGAAAAGACAAGCAACTAGTAAGGGAAGAAGAAGGATCAAGGGCGGGATGGAAAAATCTATTGCAAAGAAGAAAAGAATGCAATCTAACCAGGTAATTAATTTTGTTGTGTTATGTGATATGTGTTATCAATTTTGTGTTACGTGTGTTTGGAAAATAATGAATTAAATAAATGGGTTGTTTGCAGGGTGATGGTTTTTGTACTCCTGAAGGTCAATCTGAGCCTCCTGTCGCCATGGGTAATATTTCTAGTTAGGTAATATTTACAATTGTGTGCAACTTTGTATCAATCTTGTTGGATTGGTTATTCTTGCCACTAGTAGTGTGAAATTTATTATTTTGGGTCTTTTGTGATACATGTAGGGTGGTTCTTTTTCTGTTTCTCAAGATCAATCTCAACCTTCTTTATCATTGGGTAATCATTCAATACAGGTAATATTTAATTTTCTATGAAACCTTTGACATGCATAGACCTTAAGGAAATTGAACCTCATACGGAAATTGAACCTCATGTGAATTTTTTATGTTGGTTTACTTTAGGGTGTTTACACTACACAAGGTCAATATCGACCTCCTTTTCCCATGGGTAGTAATTATGTTGAGGTAATATATCATATTGTTTGATTTTTAAAATGAAAATGCATTATTAATTTATTTTCATGAAACTTATTCTTTTCTTTATTTGGTTTACTTTAGGGTGTTTACACTGCACAAGGTCAATCTCGACCTCCTCCTTTTGTCATGGGTAGTAATTATATTGAGGTAATATATCGTATTGGTGGTTTTTTAAAATGAAAATGCATTATTAAATTTTTTTCATGAAACTTATTCTTTTCTTTATGTTGGTTTACTTTAGGGTCATGGTCATGCAATCTATATTTCTCAATCTCAATCCCAATCTCGACCTGAATCCCAATCTCAACCTCCCTTTGCCATGGGTCGTTCAAGTGTTTATGATGTCATGTATCCTACATATGATGTGAGTTGTAATTGCTTACATAGTTTACATTGAAATGGTTGTATAGATTCTATATAAATATTTTAATAAATGTACCACTATTGCAGGGAAATAACACACCTCATTCAATGCCTTTAGTGTATCCCACTCACACATCGTTTCAGGAGTTGCTTCGAGGTACTACTGTCCAACTGTCGCAAGCCTCACATAGTCCTGCTGACAGTCATGTGGATGGACATCCTTGGAAGCCTTGCACCGAACGATGATGTTATTATATTTGTGGATTTTGGTGTATTTTTTTATGTTTGGTGGGATTTGGATATTTTTGATGGACATTTTCTGTTTGAATTTAATGTTGAGGTGGAATTTTGAATTTTTCATGGACATCTTCTGTATGTATTTTGAATGTTTGGTGGAATTTGGATATTCTTGATGGACATCTTTTGTATGTATTTTGAATGTTTGGGAACAATGTTCTTTTGTTCATGTGTATGCATATATAAAGTTCTTATTATTTTCATGTAGAATGCTTTTATTGTGAGGATCACATTAATGTTTGTTTTAGTCAATATTTTGATGTGGTTGGTGATTAGGAAATTTGTTTGTTTAAATTCCTTGTGGTGCATTATCAATTCAAGTGGCACAGGTTCATGTTTCTTTTAGTCAATATTTTGTAGTGGTTGGTGATTAGGGAAGCTGGACAGGTTAAATTTCGTGTGGCATAGGTTCAATTCAAGTGGCACAGGTTCAATTCCTTGTTGTTTGTACAAGCAGGCTTTGCCTTCATTTCCTGTTCTTTTGCTTGTCTGAACTTGTTACTGTTTCACAGCATGGAGAAATGTTTAGGTGAAGAAGCTAGGCATTTTATGATTTCACATGCTAAAACCCATGGAAGAATTGAATGTTAAAGCATCATAAACATCATATTCACTTTGTGCTCACATAACATCATATTCACTTTCTTTTCATAGCATCAATCTTCATACATCATATACATAACACCCAATTTAATTAATTAACACAATTGACATAGCATAGCAACTTCATTAATTAAACAATTTTTGGATTTTACATTCACATATAAAAGTTTCAAAACTAAATACAAGTTCTACAAGTAGTGGTTTACACTCGGTACAAATACAAGTTCACTTGAGTAGCACCACTAGCATGATAAAACCAAGCATCACTATGATTGTCAACATCATGAATTTGATAGCTTCAAGTCGTTCTCATTGGTTTGCGTCAAGTCGTTCCAAGATATTCACAACTTCATTGTTTCTCGCAAAATCATAATCATCCCTGCTCTTTTGGATATTTGATCCATTCCCAGTAGGAGGCACTCCCCACGCAAAGTAGTCACAAGCCTTATTTGCACACTTGAAATACAACTTCCCTGGATTTTTCTCTGATTCTGATATGTACACTCCTGCTTTTTTCCCACATTTGCATCTTTTATTTTGAAAGAATCCAGCATCATTGTTTGAACTCGTTGACATGTCAATCCTAATTACAAGTAGACACAAAAGTCAATTTCAAATGCAACATAGATCTAACCACAATTGAAGTTAAGAGATGTAGGTAACAAGCATAAGATCATATTACTTCATATTACTAGCCATCAGTTTTCATCAACATCAGTTTTCAGCAAGTTCGGAGATTAATCAACTTGAAGAATTAGAGAAAACAATGGCATGAACATCATGCAAAAGTGATAATGTGCCCGGTGAAAATGTGTTGCAGTTGGTCATTAAAAATATGAATATGAGTTATAGTTTCTGTATATACTTAACAAAATGCACTACTTCCATTCCTTCAACTAGTGTTGTAGGTTTCTGCATATACTTAACAAAATGCACTACTTCCATTCCTTCAACTAGTGTTGTAGGCCTCACAGATCTATTACCCACTATTTGCATGCATTCACTAAAGTCACAGTATCTTTTTTTTTCCTTTTTATATATTTATTTGATGGTTTTTAATTCCCCATTAATGATAGATAATCTTTGGGCTGGAAGAGGCAAAAGAGTACCAACTACCATGTTCTGTCTCCCATGGTGGATTGAGTTATCAACATCAGTTCTCTCTCCCATGGCAAAAGAGTACCAACTACCATAATCTTTAGACTAGATCAATGTCAACATTGTTTACCAAAAATAAAAAATTTGTGCAACTTAATCATGTTATATCACATTCATGGTTCCTTTCTAAAAAATAAACTGCTAACAATATACACCAAGGTTCCTTTCTATCTCAATCATGTTATATCACATTCCCGAGCTTTGATCATAATCAGTGACTAACAAGACAAAGCAGGACTAAAAAATATATATAATTATGTGTTGATCAACATTCCTAAGATTTGGCTTATATCACATTCCTGAGCTTTGATCACAATCAGTGACTAACAAGACACTTCATTTTGGCTGTTATGTGTTGATCAACATTCCTAAGATTTGGCTTATATCACATTCCTGAGCTTTGATCACAATCAGTGACTAACAAGACACTTCATTTTGCAGGACTAAAACATGGACTAAAAAATTTGGCTGTTATGTGTTGATCAACATTCCTAAATAAAATAAAAATGGACTACAAAATGGATCAACACACTTCATTTTGACTAAAAAAACGTTGATCAACACACTTCATTTTGCAGGACTAACTAATGGACTAAAAAATCAACACATAACAAGACACACAAAAATCAACACATAACAGCCAAATCAACACAAAAAATCACAAAAATCAACACATCACAAAAATTCACAAAAATGGAATGAACATTGTCGGACCTTCCCTAATCAAACCAATTGAACCAAAATAAAGCTAAGGGACTCAAAATTATTCACTTTGTGCAGCTTGGGAATGAGCCCACTGTCGAATGGAGTAGATTCAAAATAAAGCGAATGGAGTATACCTCGTCGGACCTTTGTGTGTTCGTCCGTCGCCTCTTTCGCCCTCGCGTTCGTCGCCTCTCCCGTTCGATCTGTCCAGCTCTGTTCGTCTTTAGCTCTGTTCGTCTCTATCTATCAGAGGGGCTAGGGCACAACGCAAAAGGGCTGGAAAATAAGAGGTGAAAAAAAATATATATATATATATATATACATTTTTCACGCATCAAAACGACGTCGTTTTGATACGCTGCAGGGACGGCCGCAGGAAAGGGCGACCGAAGATCCGAATTCATAGCTTGGACCTCAAAAGTGGGAATCCAATACAGGTTTGGATAGATTACGATGGAGTGAAGAATCTACTCAATGTAACACTAGCTCCCATCGAAAGGCCAAAATCAGATTGTAAGTATTTCTGAGGATTGTAATTATTCTCCTATATATCTATTAAAAAAAATTAAAAAAAAAATCGTTTAAATCTATATCAGCACTTCACATTTAAGATAAATTTCTGACTAATTTTTCATGGTTACTAGTATTTTTTTTTTATTATTCTAGATACATGATTTGGTTGGTCCTAATTCCAGATACATTAACCAATGTCGGATTCATCTCATGTCTAGGTAACTTGGTCATACCTAATGGACTTTTATCATATTAATTGTTTTAATTTTCTTTTAGATTCTAGAGTTCAAACGTCACCTTGGAAATTGTGGTGCAATGAAAGCAACAGCAAATGCAAATTTCTGCTTTAAATTCCATCTAAATATTAGTATTACACAAATTAATAGATTTTATAAACCTTTTTTTTTTAAGTTGATTTTAATAAATTAAGATTTTAAGGATAAAAATTTAAGGACGAAATCATCTTTTAGAAGGAAACATTTTAATTATTAAAAGTGTCATTATTTTATTTTTAGCGATGAAATTAGATAAAGATTTAATGATTAATTACTATCATTTTGGAGACCATAATTTGTCTAAAAAGGTAAATATATTTTGTATTAAATTTTTGTTCCGAAAAGTACATTTATTAGCGACATTTAAAAAAAAATGGTCTCTAAAGGTGATTTTTTACTTTTGAAAATGACATTTTAGTGATTACTCCTATGAAATTTGCCTCCTAATATTTTTTGCAACAAAAATTTTTATTTTTGGAAACAGAAAAATTTGTTTTATTTTTAGAAACAGAAAAATTTGGTTCCTACAATCCTTTATGCGGCAATGATAGAGACCACTAAAAGTGGTGCTCTAAAGCAACCACTAATGATGTGACATTCACTTATAAAAAAAAAAAAAAAAAAAACACAGCAACACTGTGACAGTGGGTGGGACCCACTGCCACATCATTAGTAGTGGCACTAATTAGTGCTCCCACTCATTTTCTACCATCCTTTATGTGTTGTAGTATTTATTGGTGTGATATTCATTACATCATAGTTAAGACATCAATTTGTAAGAAAAATTACTCAAGTTTATTAGTTTGTAAGGCATCTATATATTAGTATAGCTGTAAAACGTTATCATTTCATTAAAGTTGAAAGTTGTAAAAAAAAATTTCTTATTTTTTGATTTTGTTTAATTTTTGTTAATACTGTCACAATATAATTGATCTATAAATTAATTTTATGTTCTTAAAATAAAATTTCAAACTTGGATTCATACTTAAATTATGTTACAATATTTGGAATGAAATCAATATTCATTCCTTAAATTATGCATCTTTTATTAACTTATAAAATAAAATTTCAAATTTAAATTGTTCTTCAAATTATATTGAGATCAATATTTACATGTGTCATAATAACGTGTCATAATATTGTTAGTCTAAATATAATTTGTTTTAAATACATGTGTTCAAATTATTAATCACTATTAAAAAAAATGGTTTTAAATTTTATTTAAAAATTTGTATCCTTCTAAACTAAAAGGACTTGAACAATAATATTTTTTAATATAAACTTCCTTTTTAACAAAAGACAAAAATATTAAGAAAATGAATAACTTTTTTAAGCACTTGCCATACATGATAGATTCTATTATTTTTTTTTTTATTATCTCAATTGTCAATTAAAAAAACTGAAATATTTTTAGCTTAAATAGCTAAGAAATGACTTGCTAAAATCAAATAGAAATAAACGTTATTTTTGTTTTTGTTAAAAGTGATGGTTGGTGAATTTTTTTTGTCATCTCATTAAGGTAGAAAGTTGCAATTCTTCTTTCTCATATTTTTTTTTTTTTGATTTTGTTCAATTTTTGTTAATACGTGTCACAATATGATTGTTATAGTGTTTCTGGCTTAGACCCGACCCATTGTAGGTTTTTGATCCGGGGTTCATTGTCTTTTATAGTTATTTATGTCTTGTTTCCCTTATACCTCTTTGCGTTTGGCTATTGGGTTATATTGGTTGCATTTGGAAGGTTACATTTGGAACAGGCTGGTAGCTTGTTTTTCAAGTTGTTGATGCCTAGAATTTGGCTTCTACGCTCGAGCGTAGATTATTACGCTCAAGCGGTCTTTGACAACTCCCAGCACTTTGGCAGGTCTACAAAACTTCTAAGAGTTTGTATTTTCCGCTCGAGCGTCACTTATTGCGCTCGATTGGTGATGCCTTTATCCTTGTGGCTTGACGCTCGAGTGTCACTTCCTGCGCTCGAGCGGTAATTATTTTGTATCTGGAAGCTCGAGAGTCATTTCTTGCCCTCAAACGATCTGTGTGTATATCAGATCGCAAAACGACCTTTTTGAGTCACTTTTTCATTTCACTCTCTCTCTAAACACTCCAAAAACCTAGATCTAGACACTCTCCCTCTAAAACTTACATTCTCTCTACAAAAACACCAAGATCTAGTGATTTCGTCACCCTACTCTCTTTGTTAAAAAGGTAGAACACTTTGTGGACTCTCTTTTCATCTGAACAAAAGTGGATTTTGGCTTCTTTGAGGTTTGTTTACTTTTTCCTTGATTTTCTAGATTCGAGGTAGAGATACTTCACACTCAAGTATGGGTTTTGTCTTTGCTATTTGCTATTTCAAAGGATTGTGGTGGTTTGGGGGGTTTTGGCAAAAACCTAGGGTATGAAATCAAAATGTAAAATAGGGGTTTTCAAATGTTTCTTGAAAATGGTTGTGATTATAAATTTGGGGTTGATATATGTTGAAATGAGATATTTCTTGCATTGAAATGGATTTTCAAAGAGAAAGAAGTTTTGCCCTAAAATGTAAATGTTGAGATTGTAAAGTGAACATGGGATTGATATTGGAAATTGTGAAATTAAATAGATATTGGTGATGAGGGTGGAGTTAAATATGTATTATCACTCCTATTTGAGATTTTGAAAAAATATATCTTTAATAAAATTTATTTATCTGTTTAGAGATATCTGTTTTGGGCTATCAATGAAGGATAGCTATGGGTGTTGTAAAAATTGCATGAGAATTAGGTGAACTGAAACTAATTTCTCATCCATGTGCATTGAACATGGTTTCTTATTTAATACATTGAAAATGTTTATCAAATTGGAAAGAAGTGTGTATCACTAAATCAAGTTGGCCTGTATGTTCAGGGTGAAAGTCTTGAAAAACGCACGTATACATGGGTGCCGTTTCCCGGGGACAAAATATCCGTAAAATGGTAATAGTAATACTTATATAAGTTACGTTTACATGGGTGCTGTTTGACGGTTTTTCCCAAACGAAATATCTGTGAAAGGTTGACTTGAGATCTCCCCCTGTTTTCTATGGTAAAGGACATAATTTTGAGAATTGTGATATAAACTTGGCATGGCATGATTTTGGAAAGAAATGTAAAACGTTTAGGCATGGGCATTGCATATGCATTCACCTTATGGCATTGTCAAGATTTATACATTGTGTTATAGTATTTCTACTGGGTTTTGGCTCACCCTATGTAGGAAAACTATTTTGAGATACTAGTGATATGCATCCGTCAAGGACTTAGCTTGGGAGGACTGTAGAGCTGAAGACTCATTGTTGTTATCTTGTATTTAAATTTTGTACAAGCCTAGGGCTTTATTTGTATTGAACTTAAGACTCACTTTTGAAGTACTCAAGCATTGACTTGGAAAAATGTAAGCCTTTAAGGCATATAATTATCTGTTTAGTCTTTATTTCTTTTCACTATCTTGCAACACATGCTGTAGATTCAGGATGTACTGTTTATGAATATATATCGCATGTGTCACCCTCTTGTATATCAAACTCTGATTAATGAAAACTCATCATTCCATTTATGTTGCTATTTATTAGTTATTATGAGATAGGTATATTGTGTTTATTTCGGGTTCAATTGGTCTATAAATTAATTTTATATTCTTCAAATAAAATTTCAAATTTGGATTCATACTTAAATTATATATGTTACTATAATTGGAATAAGATCAATATTCATTCTTTAAATTATGCATCTTTTATTAAATTATAAAATAAAATTTCAAATTTAAATTGTACTTCAAATTATATTACTACAATTAGAATGGAATCAATATTCACATGTGTAATGACATGTCATAATAGTGTTGGTCCAAATATAATTTGTTTTAAATACACGTATTCAAATTATTAATCACTATTAAATTTATTTTTTGGTTTTAAATTTTATTTAAAAAAAATATATCCTTCTAAACTATAAGGACTTGAACAATATATTTTTTAATATAAATTTATTTTTTAACAAAAGACAACACTACAAGATAACATACTTTTTGAGTCGGCAGGTTACTGTCGCAAAAAACATAATTTCCGTCGCAAAAACTTTTTGCGACGGCCTTTCGACGGCATGGTGAGGGACGAGAGTACGGGGGTCGCTAAAACTTTTTGAGTCGGCAACTGTGCCGTCACAGAATATTTGCGACGGCAAAATGTATTAATTGAGACGGTATCCTACCGTCACAAAAAAGACCAAAAAATCACTACTATTATTTATGTCGGTACATTACCGTCGCTATAGAGTTTTTTGTGTCTGCAATGTGCCGACTCTAAAAAAATTCACCTGTACATTGCATAGGTTTTTTGAGACTGTTAGTTGCCGTCACCAAAAAAAATATATATATATATATATATTTTCATAAAAAAGTTATTTCTTTTTTGTAATTAATACCTGTATTATGTTCATTGAAATCTAATAAAAAAAATGCATTCAATCAATAGACATTCATTCATTCAAAAACCAAAAATATTTATACAAATTCAGTCATCATCTTAGCTTCATTGACATCAAAATATTAACAAAAAATTTGTTACATCAATACAAAAAGTATGGTAGCAATATGTTATAAATATTAAGTACAAAAAGCTTGACATCTCAAGCCATAATATAATATGTCCAAAAATAAAGTTAGCTTCCATGCCACCATTAATTCATCTATCAGTCTTCATGCAAAACCTGAAAACAAAAACCAAAACAAAAACAAATTAAATCAAATATTAGGTTATATAATATATATATATATAGCTTCACCAAGTCATAAACTCAATTTTAGCAAAACACTCCCTAGCTATACTATTAGGCCTCACTGAATATAATCAAATTGTCTAGATTATAAGAGCAACTCCAACCACACTCTTTATTTTTCACTAGCTAAAGTACAAAAAAGGGACACTCTTTATTTTACCTAATTAGTTTAGCTATTGTATGTTCCAATCATACTCTTTATTTTAACTAGTCATTCAAACTAATTAAACCAATTTTCAAAACAAAAAATGCCATATATATTACTATCTTTTTCATAAAATGCCACATACGCACCAAACGCTAATATGATTGCCAATGTGACATTTGCGATAATATTTTTAAAAATAATATTCTTTAATATTAGTTTTAAAAATATTATAAAAAATAATGTTAAGTAATATTTAATTTTTTTTATAAAATTTATAGTACGTGAATATATACCAACATATGAATTTTGTGAAACCATCTTGAAGGGGAGGGGAGGGGAAGAATAAAAGAAAACAATAAATAATTTTGCTTATTCTTAAGGGAAGGTTTCTCATATGAGACTCATAAGGAATATGGCCTCAATTGACTTGTGCTCGATGTGGATTAGCTAGTAATGACATGAATCATCTCCTCAGAGAGTGCAACTCCTCTAAATACATTTGGGTTCAAATAAAGGACACTAAATGATGGGAGGATGGATGCGGTCAGCCACTTTGTGAATGGGTTGTTGAGAATTTGAAAAATAAAACTGAGTTTTTTGGTAAAAAATGATATACTATTTTTATTGTTATCCTTTGGCAGTTATGAAAAGATTGAAACAAATTTGTTTTTGAAAGCCAAATTACCCCTATTCAAATCAGTCTTAAGAACATGAAAAATTATGTCCATGAGATTGATGAGGCCTTCCAATCTATCCTCCACTCGAATCCCTCTCATCCTAGACTAATCAAATGGTTTTGTCCACCTGTAGGAAAGCTGAAATTAAATGTTGATGGCTGCTCAAAACGAATGCAAAACAGGTTCAACACTATTAAGAAATGCAAAATAGGTTCAACACTAATCAGTCTTACTTTAGGTTCAACATCAGGAAAATAGGTTCAACAGCAACAATAACACTAAATCGGGTTTTCAGTAGGCTAACCCTTAACCTCAATTGCGTGTGATTGTGAATATTACATTATGTAATAGAGATACCTGCACAGGAGAACCCAACAACTCATCATCTTGACTATCATGATCTCCTACAGACTTCCTGACTTGTTGACGTCCACTAGAGGCATTTGGAAGCTATATAACCAACACCAATACCATTTTATTAAATATGATACATAGAAATAAAAGAAAAGAAAAGAAAAAAAAGAAAAACAAACAAATTGCCCAAGTTATTCAGTTAGTTATTTTTACTCCACCTGTATACCACTTAGGCCACCTTGGGACCTTATGAAGTCCATCCAAGCTCTAACTTGCTCGAACTCTGCCTTCAACTTCTCAGTGACCCTTTGCTCAATCTCAACCGTTAGCCTTTGCTCGATCTCTTCAGTAACTGTTTGGCATACTTGTTGAGTGATCTCCTCAACAGTCGATGATGAGGATGCTTGTGATGGGCTGACATCTTTTTTGTACACTGCACTTCGAGGCACACCTATCCCATGAGTCTTGCAATATCCGTGTCCATCATTTCCTACTAGGTTATGGAAAATCTTATCTTGTACCTCTTATGTCCTGAGGGGCTCGTCTATCATTGAGAGTTGCTCATTATACTCATCCTAATATTTAAAGATATTAGTATACAAATAGCACAGTTAAAAAAAATATTAAACCAATATGCAAAGGCCCATACCAAAAGTAATTTCACATCTGGATCGGTTATCATGCGTGTCTTCATGAAGACACTCATTTTGTTAGTGCTCTCTTCATCAGTCATCATCTAAAATTGCCAAACAGATAAGAGTTAGCATTTAGTTAATTTTTATATAATTGTTAATACAAATCATTACCTTATGTCGTACATCGGCAAAGGGTGTTCTCCCGGTCCTATGCACTGGACTACGCAGCTCTCGATTTTTAGAATTGCGACTAGCAATCTTCTGTAAAAGTAAAGCATTCACATTTTACGAAACTATTAATTAAATGTCATACAAGAGATACATGAATATATTTGTATACCATTGCATCTTTACTACTCCAATACTCCACCATCACCCACCATTGTTCTGGCAAAATGTCCAAAGGCACTTTTTCATTGATATTTGGATCATTTTTAAAAGGCTTGTAGTGATTAGTTTTAGTCTTATGTTTGTGATCCTTCCATAATTTGTTACATGAGTCTATGACCACTTGCTTCAACCCTTCTGGAGCATATAACAAGTCATCCTACACAACACAAGGTAATGGAAATAAGATTAGCAAACATTATAATTAATACAGTGGAAATAAAATAGCAAACATTATAAATGTATAAGACATTTGAAATAAAATTATTAAGCATTATAAACAAGACAAATGGAATGTACAAACAAATAAATTTATACCTGAATCTCCTTCCAAATGCCTTCCACAATATCTTCAGGTACTGAGCCCCAACTAAGATAAGTTAGAGGAACTCAGTGTGGATTGCGCACAATCTGACCCAACTGCCCCTTAAATGACCGTCCTAGTTTATTAAGTGGCTGAAACATGGCATTGAACTCTACATTTAGCTTTGCTCCTGTACCCCATTCCTTGATTCCCTTAGCACGACCACGACCATGCCTCCGCGAAGAAGGACCTGAAATAAAAAATTTATTTAAAAAAAAATTAATACAAAACATATCATAAGACAAAAAATATATACCGGAGTCACGTGACTCTAATACAACAGTGGGCACTAGTGATGGTTGACTTCTTTGCGGTTGTAGCTCCAATGATGGTGTCACATCTCTTGGTCGACACACAGACGTATGTGATGATTGAGAGGTTTCAGTGCCATCTGAATCATATTCATGCATCTGTAATAATGCATCACCCATAGTAGCAGCAACATATTTTCTTTTTCCCATAAGTACCTGAAATTATATATTTTTGTTCGGTAAGTAAGTTATAAAATGAGATAAGAAGAATATACAGATGTACAAAAGGCATACCTCAGGAAACCTAACAAACTAGAAAACAAATAAAAACAAAACAGCACCTGTAATGGCAAAACAACACAGCAAAACCAGCAGAGCTACAGTAGTCCACCTAGCGAACCATAACTCATATATTGATAATACAATATACAAGTACATATAAAGAAACATAAACTAATAGATTCTCAAGTTGTAATGCATTACTAATTGGATTGATAATAGAAATAATTAATACAAAAAAAGAGTACTTTCAGATCATCATACAACTACAAAAATTCATTACACATCAAATGTCTCTCCTTCTGTTCCTTCCCTCACCCAGCCCACTTCTTCATCCCGGAGCATAACATTTTCTTCCAATTGTTGATCCATATAAGGCTCAGCTTGAGGATCATTAGATTGCATACCAAATAATCCTCTTTGAGACATCTTCACAACAACATTCCAATCTGGTTCCAAAGGGTCTGGGACATACCAAACTTGCTCTGCTTGGGATGCCAAGATGAAAGGCTCATGATTTTGATGGTCATCTCGATATAACAAGTGCTTAAAGTTGACCAACTTGAATTTAAAGACATCTTCTTTCATCCCGCGAATATTGTCAATCCAATCACACTTAAACAACACATATTTTGTGTCATTACTGTACCGGACTTTGATAATGTCAATCAATCATCCGTAATAATAAACAGCTCCCACACGAGGATTTTTGTCCTTCCGGCTAGCATAACTCATTGTATTTGCCTTCAAACAAACACCACTATTTTGAGTTGTTCGATTGTTATCAATGGTGTTGATACGAAATCGACAACCATTGATAATATAGCCATTAAATCTCCTCGCCAAGTTAGTAGGACCATTTGCCAATTTATTGATTTCTTCAGAAATTGTGGCATTTGTCACTCGTAAAGTTTGGACCTATTAAAAAAAAAAATCAAAATTCAATATAAATAAAAAAATGTTAATATAAATAAACACTATGTAATATAGATGATATATTTAAATATACATACATGATCCACAAACCAAGTGTGGAATGTTTGAAAATGTTCACGTTGAATTTGATGATCATCTGCACGTGGCATTTTGCTTTTGAGGAATTCAAGATGCTTGCTATGTAAATTGAAAGATATGTTAGATAATTTCCTTGTTTCATAGGGAAAGGAAGGGGAGGAGAAAGGAGAGAGGGAGGGAATAATAATAATGGATGATGCAACTTACATTATAAATGGGGCAACTGAACTTGTATTGAATAAGATATATCGATGAGCTTGTGTCCATGCATTATTATCAAGATAAAATATAGTGCCCTCCCCAATAGCATGACCCATGTTATCACCACCATCGTAGTTCCTCACCGGTCGGTTACTTCTAGTTTCAACATCATCCAAATACTGTGCACAAAATTCCATGCACTCTTCCATCAAGTAACCTTTAGCAATTGAACCTTCTGGATAAGCTCGGTTACGTACATACTGCTTCAACGTAAGGAGAAACCTTTCAATTGGATACATCCACCTGAATTGCACTGCTCCACCAATCAAAGCTTCATCAGCTAAATGTATAGGCAAATGTTCCATTATATCAAAGAATGCAGGCGGAAATATTTTCTCAAGATGACAAAGTGTTACACTAATGCGATTTTGAATGTATTCCAAATCAGCCGCACGATTCTCCTTCAAGCACAATTGCCGAAAAAAATTGCACAATTTAATCAAGGGTTGAACCACATTCTTGGGCAAGGATTTGCGAATAGCCAATGGTATAAGTTGTTGCATCAAAATATGACTATCGTGACTTTTAAGACCTCCAATGCTTCTATCTTCTAAATGCACACGTTTTGAAATATTTGATGCATACCCATCTGGCACTTTCACTCCTTTTAGTACTTTGAGAAATATATCTTTTTCATTCTTGCTCATTGTAAATTGTGCAGGAGGTAAGTACACTTTGTTGGACCCTTTTGATTGCACATGTAGTGGTCATCTAATATTCATCTCTTGCAAATCACGTCGAGCACTCACATTGTCTTTAGATTTTCCCACAACTCCAAGTAATGTCCACAAGACATTATCACATACATTTTTCTCTATATGCATCACATCAAGATTGTGCCGAATTAGGTTGTGCTTCCAGTACGATAGTTCATAAAATATACTCTTCTTCTTCCAATTATGGCTTCGAGATTTGGAAGTTCCCCTCTCTCTTTGTCTCTGTTGTCTTTTCTTAAGGTCATCAATCTTGTATTGGGTCAAGATATCTTCTGAATCCAACTGATGCAATAACTCAGATCCAGACAACAATTTAGGTTTGCTTCCCCATTCTCGTTTGCCATCAAATGATACTCTATCCTTTCGAAATTTATGATTGCTAGGCAAGAACCGACGATGCCCAATGTAGGAATGCTTTTTACCATGTTTCAACCAACATGATACCTTTTTCGTGTTACAACAAGGACAAGCATATTCACCTTTGGTACTCCAACCTGATAAGTTGGCATAAGCTGGGAAATCATTAATTGTCCATAGCAAAGCTGCATGCATTTGAAACATTTGATTGGTCAATGCATCAAATGTGGCAACTCCTTCATTCCACAATTCCTTCAACTCCTCAATTAATGGTTGTAAATATACATCAATCTTGTCCCCAGGTCCTTTTGGGCCATCGATAAGTACAGACAAAATGAAAAATGGTTGCTTCATGCACATCTACGGGGGTAAGTTGTAAGGAACTAACACGACTGGCCAAGTGCTATGAACTATGTGCATTGATCTGAATGGATTGAATCCATCAGATGCTAACCCAAGTCTTACACTTCGACTATCACTAGCAAAGACGCTATTTTGTCGATCAAAATCTTCCATGCAAGGGAGTCAGCAGGATGCCTTAACACACTATCATCAATTCGTTCCTCTTGATGCCATCTCATGAGCTTTGCCGTTTTAGATGACATAAACAATCTTTGCAACCTTGGCTTCAAAGGAAAATATCTCATTTGTTTTGCAGCTTTACGTTTACCATGTCTTTTACCATCATTCGATTTCCATCTACAACTCTTGCAAACAACACATTCATCAAGACTTGCATGATCATTTCGGAACAACATACAACTATTAGGGCATGCATCCCAAGTCTCATATGTGAAGCCCAAATCCTCAGTTACTTTCTTAGCCTCATAGTATGAACTTGGAAGTTTCACACCTTCAGGAAAAGCCTCATTCAATAACTCAAGTAGCATGTCAACAGATTTGTCTGTCCATTTATTGAGCACCTTCATATGCAAAAGTCTAACAATGAATGACAATGATGTGAATTTTTTACAGCTTGGATACAGTTCACTTTGTGCATCTTGTAGAAGTTTGAAATACTTTATAGTTTCTTCATTTGGACCTATGCAAGCCTCATTTGTACTTAGATCATCATCCTCAACATTTACATGTACATGTGGATTTCTTAGAGTATCGTTTAGCATTCCAATCATATCATCCCTAACATTTGAATCCACCAAAGTTTCCATATCCTCATTACCATGCAAAGGAACATATGATTCACCATGATTAGTCCAATTTTTATACTTCTTAAAAAAGCCATTACTGTAAAGATGATCCTTCACAACTTCTCGTGAAAAATTATAGCGATTCTCACAATTCCTATAAGGACAACTAATATATGAACCTTCAGTCCTATTAGTGTATGCAAAATGCTTATCTAGGGCTGCCTTGCTTCTGTATTTCCATCTCATGTTCAAATTATGCGTGCATTGTATAGCTATAGGCCATTTCATGCGCCAAAATCCATGTTTCGGGGCTCGTTCCATGCATCGGGTTTCATCTTACCGGGTTTCAGGGCTGTTTTGCATCTCATTTTACCTCTGATTTTTTGCATTATAGTGTGCCATATTCCATGTCTTTGCCATGTCTTATTAGAGTGGCATTTCGGTGCCTGAGGGTCGGTCCTCGGTTTGCGTGCACGCATGCACGCATTTCGAGTTGTCTTGTTTTCATCTGATGGCCTCCTATGTGAGTGTGGCTGAGGCTCTCTCATGTTGGTGTAAGCCCATTATTGCATTGCGTATGCCATTTCATCCATAGCATTGTGTATGCTCGGTTGTGTATTACCGCGTGTAGCTTGTATGCCATTCCATAACATTGTGTATGTTAGGATTGTATCTTAGTTGCATTTCATGCATGTCATGCATATTGCATCGTGTTCGGGATAGGAGTTAGCCCGAGCACGGGAAACGAGGTACGTTTCGTACTCCGAGTGACGGAACGTGTCTCAATTCCCAGTCATCGACACTCTGGATTATCCATGATGGAGTTTAGGTCTTGTTGTGTTTACATGTGCATTCATTTCATATCGAATCGTGCAATTCGACTTCTCGGCCATCATGCATCGAGATGCGTGATTGGTGGCACGAGAATCGAGGCAAGAGACCTCTGCATGAAATCAGACCACCTAACTATTATAGGGTGGGCAATCAGCCTGAAGGGAAGCCTGAATTTGGCTCAAGACAGGGAACTAGGCTTAATGATTAGCCTCCAAGAACTACTTCAAAGCCAGTTTCGAAGATAGGGGTAGCAGGCCCAGCTGCTAGAGTAGTGGGTTCATGGGTCCCTAGGGTTCTAGATTAGTTTGTCATGCAGAACATACCTAAAGTAATACCTGCCAAAGAAAAACTTTCGGAGACAAGGGAAGGATGATCAAAGCTCATTTGGTGGATCCAAATAATTGGGTTCTGCTAAAAAACCCAAAGACAAGGGAACTAGATATGATTCCTGTAATTTCCAAGTCCCAAAGGAGGAAGATCCAGTGAAGATACACCCAGTATCAGAGGGACCTGAAAGAGAATGGAGAAAGTACTTCCTTGGCCCAGTCAAAAGGCCAAACAGAAGAAGGAGAAGGTTCAAAGCCTGGCGCTAAGATCAAAAGGGGTGCCAGCAGAGAACAATTGGCTAAAGTTTATGTTGAACTAAGAGCCAAAGAGATATCCAGTCTAGCAGGCCTCGAAAAGGCCTTGAGAGAGAGTGATGATGAGATAGATAATGAAGTTAAACTAGGCCAAGAGAAGGTATTGGCTGAA